CCCGCCCTCGCCCTCCCGTCCCCGCGCGCTTCCCCCTGTCCCCCGTCCAAGGAGGCAAGAACTGAGCGAGGCCGAGGTGGTGGCATCGGTTTAAGGAAGGAGCTACAGAGCCCGCCGCACCGTACAGCGCCAACCCGCGATGACCGAGGCTCCGGCGGAGGAGGAAGGGGTGCTGGCTTTCCACTGAATCGCCGCTGGCAAATATCAGGTCTGATCCGCTTGTGGATTTAAGAGCAGACCGTCACAAAGCACAGGCGATCAGGGAAACAAGTGCCTCCTTCCCCCCTCTCTGGTTTATCAAAAGACTACTGAAAAACTTAAGGAGTTTACAAACATGAGAAAAAAGCTTGGCACATATTAAAAAAGCCTCAGACAACAGTTTCCGTCCAGAGTCCACCGCCAACCGTTACACAACAGTAAACGGGCAGCGATCGCTCAGGCAGCTTTGTAGTTAACGGATTAATATGGGGACACGGCCACGTCTCCCCCCCAGGGCTCCCCAGAACCGCGCCAGCCCCGGGGCAACACGGCGCTCGCGAAGGAGCAGGGCTTCTGCCGCGGTTTGGGTTAATCCCTGTCACCTTGCACTCAAACAGCCCAGGAGCACTTGTACGTGGCTCCAGGCTGTCCTGCAGGAGCCCACCGGTTCATAGCGGTGGTTCACATGAGAGAAATGAAGGTACTTTCAGGGATCCTAAAGGCTTTGTCCAAGCCCAGGCTCACCACAGGTTTAGGCACGCGTCCTAATTCTGCTTGGGGATTTTCCTAGACACTTGTCTTTGTGAGGGAGCACGGCTGGTGTAATATCAGGTACGCCTGTCCCACACGTGGCCACGCTGGCACCACAGCTAGCCTGGACTGGCACTAACAGCCCCCCACTGCAACAGCCGGCCAGAGGGAGGGGAACAGCCCCGGTGTGAGGACTTGGGCACTGGTCATGGGGGCACTGCTCACCTGACCCTTGTTTTATCTGCTTTTCCAAGCCTTGCGGAGACAAAACGATCCCTGCGTGTTCAGCACCGCCTGATCCCTGGCCTGCTCTGCCGGTCGGAAGGAAAAACAAGTGGCATGAATTCTCCGCACGAGTATAACTCGGAGACACTGCTTTGATGTCTTAAGCCACTTACTGAGGGGCTAGAGAAAGGTGCAACAAAAATGCCTCAAAAGAAGCTCTGTAAAAGCCAGGAGGGCAGATCTACGCTAAAACTGTGCTTCTAAAGGAGCCAGAGGGAGGTAGCACTCAGCCTCCTCTGCCATCCTCAGCTTGAGCCAAAGCCTCTCTAAGGACACAGAGGGGCTGAGACCGCAGGTGCAGCAGCCGGAGGTCGGTCTCTAATGCTATCTAGACACATCATCACTTTCCACAGCCACCGCTGAAAACGCTGCCAGAACCAAGCCTGTGATTACTGCAGGCCCCTTGGAGGGCTAGAAAAGTACAGAACTAATGCATAGTTATAAAGCTGATACTGAGAAACATCCCAGGGGTAATTAATTTCACTAGAGCAATTAGTGAAGCTATCCTGGGTAAGCCCAAAGGTCCATCTAAGCTCAGCTCAGTCTCCAGCCATGGATACAGACAGAAGAGCTGGGGAAAGGACAGGGCAATAAAAGACCCCTGGTTCCTCCCAGGTCCTGCATTCCAGGAATGAAAGTGCCCTTTCCGAAAAAGGCTTTTCCCTCTTTTGATTTGGTCCAACTAAATTGTGCTTTAGAGAGCAGAAAAAGCATCACCACCACGGCTGTTTGCAGCCATCTATTGGAGATGCTTTGTCTCACATATCTACAGGAATACGCTTTAAACCTGTTTCATTTAGACCCTTCCTTCTCCAAATTACACCCACCCTGTAGTCAAGCATTTGTACAAAATAGGAATGACTGACTGCTCAGGATGGTTACAGATGAGGGACAATGGCATTCTGTCCGAATAACTACTTCTTTGGAAAATTTTCCATGGAAGTTTCCTTATAATACTGGCTTCTAAAACTGCTCAGTTCCCAACCAGCTACTGCTCTCAGGGCAATGCTGAGCCTCCCCTTCCCAAAGAGAACTTCATCATAATTCATTTGTTTAGTGCGATGTGGAAACTCTCAAAGCAAATGTGGACAGGAGCATCTTACAACCAGTGAGGAGACACACTGGGAGAACAAAGATTTCAAAGCACGTGGGGTGGGAGTGGCCCCAGGCTGAACGGGAGGGCGGCACCACTCACTATCACGTCCTGCAACCTGGAGCGTGCACGCTGCATGGGTGGAACGAACGGAGGCTCTGCCCCCCCAGTCCCCCAATCCTCCTGACTTGCATGTCTAAACATTACCAGCTGGAATCCCGACACTGTGTGTTTGTTGCCATTGCTGTCAATAAATGCCATCCTGAAGAGCTGGGATCCAGGCTGTGGAGTAGCTTACAGCTTAGTGGGACTCAGGACTGCCCTTGGAGAGGTGCGAGGATGTTGGCTACCAGGAAAGACCTCTCCACCTGCGCTGGATTCTGCACCTTTGCCCACAAGGCAGAGGGACCCGCCACAAGCATTTGGTTGTAATGGCAACACTGTTCTCCACGATTCAACACAAAGTCAGGCCCTTGAGATCTGGTGTTTGCAGGTGATACTTGGTATAGCTGTTACAGGAGTTTCATCACAGAAAGTCTGAACAGGAGATGGAAAAATGTGAAGGTTGGTGACATACCAAGGTACAGGTACGCAGAGCGTTTATAGATTCAAGTATTCTCGCTCCTGTAAAAAATTGCCTGAACTCAAAAGGGCAGATTATGTAAAAAGAAACTGGTGTCACTCAAAACTTAGACTCTTCAACAGCCCTACATCACCCAGAACAAAGCTCAAGTCCTGGGGCTGTCTGCATCTTGACATCCGTGACGAGGAGGAAGAAATGCTGTAAAGAAAATAGATCTCTGAAGTCTTTGGCCATCTCTGTGGGGCAGTATGTGCCATTGTTTTTAGGTTTGCAGGTATGGTTTTGCTCTTTGCAGTCCTTCCCTCAGGAACTGGAGGTAAGTTGCAGTAGAAGGGTCTTCAAAATTGGTCGAGAAACTAAAGATGCTACTTTCAACATCTTCAGGCTTCATAGAAGTAATATCCAGGAAGTAGTTGGCATTGATATGGTGAATCTGGGAAAGAAAACAAGTGAGAGGAGACTTTAAAGGCCACATCACTTCACCATCTACACCTTTGGCCTCTAGCCAGGACACAGCTGACAAGACTGTAATTAAATTTAAGACTCTCTAATGCTTTGCAAATGCTAATTCAGCATCTAGGAACCAGGTTTCCATTTCATAGTTAGAGAAAGAGGTGCCTAAAAGACAGTGGCCTGCTTTTTCCAAGAGTGCTGACCCTCTGCTTTGCATGGTTTAGAAAAAGATGAAGGCAATTGCGCAAAATCACAGAAAAACTACCTCTGAGCAAGGGCCGGGGAGACCGCAGCCCACCCACACTGACTGCTTCAGTATGCACTCTCAGCCCGGCCTGACTGCCAAACAAGTACGTGAGCTTAAAATGCCTCTGTGCCTTCTGCTTCCCAGCGGAGATGGGCAAGGGGGACATGTGGCCACTGACCATGGCAACCTCGGCAGGCTGTAACTCACTGAGCTGAGGTCACTCACTAGCCTGCAGTCAACAGTCCACAGCCTAATTTGGAGGGCAGCCACTAAAGAGACAGCAACAAGCCACTGCAAACATTACTGGCTAGGATCTGGCAGGCGTGGGGCACAATCAGATTAGCCCTGGCAGGATCCTCCACCGCAGATAGCCCAGCTGCTGACACACAGCAAAGCGCTGCAGTGTCAAGTGTCAGGAGCTGTTGTTGTTCTTCAAATCCAAGGCACAGCAGAGCCAAAGCTGTTGACTTGCTAACGGCTGATTTGCTGTAACAAACCCAGAGAGGCAAGAGGAAGAGAGAAACGTGCTAGAATAGGCTGATAAGGAGAGATTTTCTCCAAGGCATGAACACAAGGGACAGTAGGAGGGTGCAGGACACAAGCCGCAATTGCTTTCCAAAGATCACCCACCCCAACCAGGGACAGGGAAGGGACAGAATGAAGAAATGTGGGCAGACGTTTGATTGAGGTTTGATAGTTTTCCTCTCCTCGCCAGAGCTGTTCTCTCTTCTGTCTCCAATAAAAGTGCATTTGTTTCACATTTCTTGGTAGAGCACTTGCTGTCTGTCTGTCCCAATGCCCCTGAGAGCACAGCAGTGCAAGGGACTGCAGCCCCACAAAGGGCCTGGGGAACCGAGAATGGCTGGGGGAGCTGATACGAACTTCAGGCCTACAGATGACCCTGAATTTTCTGGGATGCCGCCGGCCTGAGGGGCTAGCCTCTAGCTAGCTCCCAGCAAGCCTGAGCGCACGTGGGCCCGAAAGGACAGCAGTCTGCAGGACACTCACCTCTTCACAGAACAGGAGGCCTTTAAACACCCTGTCTAACGTGCATCTCTGGATGTGACTCCAATGCTTCCCATCAACAGGAGCTCATTCTGTTCCATGTGTCCTATCCTCATCCTGATAAACAGCGCCGTATTTCCAGTAATAGAGCCTGAACCAGCTGGGCATTTTCCAAGCACTTGGGATGACGCCATCTCCTCCCCCCTGGGAGTGATGTATTTGGGGAGGAGGAAGAGAGCACGTTCTGAGGGGAAGAGCCAAGCCCAGCTGAAAGAGTAACAAACATACCACCGTGCCATTGGGGAGGCAGATGATCATCTCCACGGGGAAGTTGTACTTCTCAAGGTGCAGGTCAGCCAGCTTGCTGTAGAACTCGTTCTCTCTGTTGGTCTGTAAAGAGACCCCACAGGAACATGCCTGCACAAACCACTGCTAGCAGAACAGAGCGGGAGGAGTAAACCTAACCCAGGATGAGGGGGCGGATGAAGAGCTGTGCTGCAGCATGGTAGCTGGCTCCATTCTCATGATGTGCTTTACTATTCCCTTTCAAGTCAGTGTTTCCCCCTGCCCCCAACACACACACTTCAGCAGTAGATTTCCCCATAAAGAGTAAGATCATCCTGTCACTAGCAGTGCCCAGGCACATAAACAGTTGGATCTTAGCTTTTCACAGCTTCTTCGGCTCTGTGACTGCCCCCAACTAACAGCATGGGCCCAGAGACAGGCTCACGGGTAGGGAAAGGCGCAGACAGTATTTGGTCGTTCTCTGGGTTCTGGAGAACAGTCAGTTTGTCGATGGCACAAACAGCCTTGGACAGGGCTATCTTGCAACGAAGCATCTGGTTTAGCTTTTAATACTGGCACCGTAAGAGAGTGAAGAGGATCATTGTGCTGTTTCCTCAGCCTGACTCCATCTGGTGTTTGTTTTGCCACTGCAATTGCTAAGACACAGAGGGCCTGGAACCAAAATCCCATTGGCACAGGTGTGAGCTCCCCCTTCCTACCCACACCAAACACCGTTCGCGTTCACCAGCAAACCAAACGCAAAAAGGCGGATGTGGCTGTGACACTCACCTGCAGCTCTTCCAGCTCCTTCACCAGCGACCAGCTGCTAATGAACAGCAGGGCGAGGATGGGCGAACTTTCCAGGACGGTCTCCCGGAGAGTTCGCCCTGAACCTGACACAGGAAGGGAGGCAGACAGTCATTTGCTGCATTTCCAAGGCTGACTGTTGCTGTGTTTGATGCTGTTGCTCTGCCCAGCGGCCGGTTGCTGTGGCAGCGGGCTCGGGCTCCCCTAACCAGACCCATGCCTCCCCCTCAAATCAGGGCTCTTGAATTAGAGAGCTGGTCTCGGGCTTGCCTCAAATAGGTCTAACCCTGCCACTGCGAACACAAGTTCTGGTCAGTAATTCCCACTTCCAGCCCTTCTCTACACAATGCCTGCCACTGGCTCCTCCCTAACCCTGAGCCCTTCTGAGAGCCTGAATTACGCATACCATTCCTCAGCCAAGATGGAAACAGCCCTCACCTCAGCAGGACTGGTCATCCAGGGCACCCCACAGCAGGATTGAGTGCACCAGCTTCTTTTCTGCTTTTGCTCTCTCAAAAGCTTGCGTGAAGGGAAGATAGGAAACCTGAAGGCAGAGAGACGGCTTGAGAAAAGGCAGAACAGCCCACCTCAAATATGAGCAGGGTCTGAAGGAAACAGACCTAGGGCATCACATAGGCAACACCAACAGAGCCGCAACACAACAGCTCGGCCTTACAACTGGGCAGTCAGCCCCTTTCCTGCTCAATGCTAACCCTGTCCACCCCCTGCCTTCCTGCCCATTAAAGCAAATAGTAAATGTGGTGCTCTTCCCAGGTGCAACTTCATCTCCCCTCACCCCAGGGACCTACAGCACTGACCTCTAATCTGGATCACGTACTCCTACCCTGCCACAATGAGCAGAGAGAGAGGAACCATCTCTTCACCCACCAACTTGCAGCTGGTCGTTCGGTTAGTGCTGCTCAAGCAGGATGTAGCAAAGTGGATGCTAAGTCCGGAGTGTTAACTCCACTGCCACGCGAGATACGGCTTTTCCTTCGGGAAAGGCCCAGGTACATGACAAATGGCTGGGGATACAGTGAGAATGCAGTGTAACCCCCGGCAGCACGCGGGCTGGACCAACACGTGCAAAGCCCCACGTTTACACGTTGCAGAGCGCATCGGCGCAACTGCAGGCAGGCTGTCTGCAAACATGCATAAGCAGCCTGGGAAACGTGGCCTTCAGATATTTATTACAAAATCTCACTGAAACGGCCTAAAAACTGGCTGTGAGGGTCTCTTTGCAGAGAGAGAGTTCCAATTACTCAAATGAAGGGAACTTTATTAACATCTTAGCAGCTCAAAGGGACATTTGTAAGCTCCGGCACAAGGAGGCAGCCTTTGAAACACGTCTCTTCAGCCAAAGAAGCAGTGACAGGCAGTAGCCATATGCTCCAGAGGCTACTGGCATGCTAAATAGTTTAGGTCACCCAGTGCTATGAATTTCAGTCTCCTTGCGGGACATGGAGGCACAGGCGGAATGCATGTTTTCTGCTGATAAGGAAAGCTTGGTCCAAAGGTAGCAGAACAATGCAAAAGTAACGCCAAAGGAAAACCGTTTGTGAGCAGCGCAATTACCTGCCTCGCTCAGAAACTGCATCGGCAGCTACTGATAAGAGGAAGGAAGGATGAGACTACATTTTCAATACAAACTTGGAATGACATGACATCTGGGCTGTGCTCCTGCCCCTGCTGCTGTGCGAACCCAAACGGCCTTTCGGAGATGCTGTTCTCTCTCATCTGGAAACTGGAGGCCCATCACGTCACATACGCAGCACCTGCATGGTGCAAGCTGAGCAGGGAGACCCTCTTGCTACTCTGAATGCTGATTAAGTCATGGCCTCTGATTCCTGCTGGGCCTT